GAGGCGGTGGGGTGCTGGCAGGGCCCTCGATGGGTCTGTGCGGGACCCCAGCTCGTCCTCAGCCGTGGAGTATGGAGCCGCTTGCCATCTCCGCATTTTACAGATAAAATGAGTGAGTCCCGTGGGGGAAAAGTGCCTTCGGACTTGCCCGAGGCCTCGCATTCGGACTGTGGCAGTGCGGACTAGAAGAACCCAGGGCCCTTTCCCCTAGCAGTGCTCTCGTGGCCACTCTCGTTATGGCCTGTCTCTCCATTCCCTTCACAAAGTCAGGTTCTGGTGGAAGTGTGACCTCTAGCTTTTTTGGGGAGGTGAGGGGTAGGGATGAAGGGGAGGGAATCGGGTTGGGATTGGCAGGAACTCAGCTGGGGGCTTCCCGGTTTGGAAAAAAGCTTTGTGACAGGTGTTTATTGTCCCCTCTTCCCATAGATCTGACAGACATCCCTGAATCTTGGTGTTTGGACATAGAAGGTATGAATCACTCACATAATTAACCGCTTTTAATCATCAGTGTCTTAGAGCTATATTTAGTGGTTATATTAGTGCAAAATGAATGGGTATGGAGTCGTACCCCTAGAAACAGACTTGTGTTCCTCTGCACCATTCTAACTAAATGAGTAGCGCATACCTAGGTATGTCATGACTATTTTAGATCTATGAGGCAGGAAGTTAGAATTTAAAGAATCTAAGAAATGCAGGGACTTGAAAAATTATTGCAAAATAAAGCCTTTTAAAAGTTTCGTTGCTAAAATGAAAGTGTTTCGATTTGATTCCTTTGAAGGGTGAGTACATCATGAACAGTGCTCTATCTTTGCTTAGAACTCAGCCTCTTTACCAAGACACGTGTATTAATTTTGTTTCACTGGAATATATGTGGCATTCTTTTCGCTAGAGGTTTGTTGCTTTGCTGAATAGACTACAGTTGCCAAAAATCACTGTGTATGGGCATCTCATCCTGGTTTGCAACCCCCTTTAAGGCAAATCAGTGCTTGGAAGTTGTTTGAAATAGTAAACCTATTATTAATGATTGTTGTAGAACATAACTTTTGCTACTATCTTTGATTTGCATTATCCTACCATTAAATCAGGCAGAGAGTGAAATAGTTAAGTGAGATTTTTGAGCCTTGTTAGAACAACAATGCCTGGCTTTGGTCAGAGGATTGGGTGGTAAAAGTGACACTATTTGGTTGCTTTAAATTTTTTTTTTTTGAGATGGCATCTTGCTCTGTTACCCAGGCTGGAGTGCAGTGGTGTGAACTCAGCTCACTGTAACCTCTGCCTCCTGGGTTCAAGTGATTCTCCTGCCACAGCCTCCCAAGTAGCTGGGATTACAGGTATGTGCCACCACACCCAGCTAATTTTTTGTATTTTTAGTAGAAACAGGGTTTCACCATGTTGGCCAGGCTGGTCTCGAACTACTGACTTCCGGTGATCCTCCTGCCTAGGCCTCCCAAAGTGCTGGTATTGCAGGCGTGAGCCACCGAGCTTGGCGGTTGCTTTAATTTAAAAGTGGTACAGTTAAATACAAAATATTAAGTAGCAGTTGATCTTGAAAGTAAAATTGGCAAGCTTCAAGTTGATGCAGTGTTCAGATTGTTGTAGGAAGGCCCATTTCTCCTTCCTTCCCTCCCCTCTTCTTCTCTTTTCTTTTGCTTCCTTTCTTTCCTTTTCGTTTTTTTCTCTCTTGTCTCTTTCTTTCCTTTTTTCTGATGAGGTCTCACTCTGTTACCCAGGCTTGAGTGCAGTGGTACGATCCTGGCTCACTGCAGCCTTACCTCTCAGGCTCAAGTGATCCTCCTGCCAGCCTCCCAAGTAGGTGGCACTACAAGTGCAAGCCACCATGCCCAACTCGTTTTTTAAATTTTTTGTGGAGATGGGTTCTCTCTTTGCTGCTGGGGCTGATGTTGAGCTCTTAGTCTCAAGTGATTCTCCCGTCTTGGCCTCCTAAAGTGCTGGGATTATAGGCATGAGCCACCGTACCTGTCCTAGGGGACATTTTGTTCAGGTCACCTAAGCTTTTTAGAGGGACCTTTGGTAATTAAAATTCTGATTTACAACTGGTTTGAGATAAATAGGATAAATTCCTACATAGGTAGGAAACTAGTTTCATGGAATTTGGAACAAAACTCTGTATACCTGAAGGTCTAAACGGTATCTTATGAGGAGTTTTCTAAATGGTATCTTATGAGATATTAGAGCTAAAATACTTCTGCTGGTTTCCTTAGATCTTTTTTTTTTTTTCTGGAGATGGAGTCTTGCTCTGTCACCCAGGCTGTAGTGCAATGGTGTAATCTCAGCTCACAGTACCCCCGGCCTCCCGGGTACAAGCGATTCTCATGCCTCAGCCTCCCGAGTAGCTGGGATTACAGGCACCCACTATCCTGCCCGGCTAATTTTTGTATTTTTAGTAGAGACAGGGTTTTACTGTATTGGCCAGGCTGGCCTTGAACTCCTGACCTCAGGTGATTCACCCACCTCGGCCTCCCAAAGTGCTGGAATTACAGGTGTGAGCCACCGCGCCTGGCCTGGTTTAATTAGATCTTGATAGTTACCTCATTTAGGTAATAGCAGTTTCCCATCTATGTCATATGTTAAGTGTGGATTCTTGTGTGGATAAGAAGTGTGTATTGGCAGCTATAGCATGTTGTAGTGGAAAGAGCGTGGACTTGGAAATCAGACCAGAGTTTGACTTCTGATTTTCTGAACTAGCAGTTCGAGTTTGACCAATGCTAATAGTTATTGAGTGAGCTTACTATATAGTAGGCTCTGAATTAAACACCTTACATGAATTATTTCACTTCAACTCCATTTTATAGATGAGGAAACTGAGGTTCAGAGATGTTATGTTGCCTAGTCACCTACAACTAACCTCATAAACCCAGAGACAGAAACCTTTATGTTAAGCACATTAACATAGAGCTAGGTTTCTGTCTGTCTTCAAAGTTGCTTATACTGTAAGTTGCTTAACTTCTTTCATTTTTTTTTTTAATTAACAAAGAAGAATACTGATACCTGAAAGTGTTGAGGATTAGTTGAGACCATGTGTAAAGAAAGGAGCACGCTTCCTGGCACATAATGGTTTCTTTCCTTCTTCCGTTCCATATACTGAATCAGACTATGCTTGCATAACGTGGTGGTTTTGTAACTACTGTGAATATGAGGTTTTAGAATATGAATATGCGTTATTCCTAAGATAAATAGTAATCTTAGGAGATAGGCACTAGATCATATTACTATAGATATACAACCTACCCAGTGGTCAAACTCATGACAATGAGCAGTGATGGGGACACCCTGTGGAACTTTGTCTTTATTCTGTCTTTTTTCTCAGTCTGAGTGATGGTGGAAATAAGAACTTCATACTTGTGAATGACAGCAAAGTGGTTTATAATTTCGAAAATCTTGAAGACAGAAATAGGATTTCAAAATGAGCTTGATAATGTGGTTCATCCAAAGTGGATTCTGTGTGCTGTATATTTGGTGACCTAAACTAACTATGTAAGTATCAAGTGGGAGACCTTATATTTGAATGG